GCTTAGATCACAGCTGAATATATAAAAATTGCAAAGTAAAAACATTTTTTAGCACAAAAGGCAAACAATTGAAAGTAAGTCAAATTAAAACTTAATCAAATAAGTGCACGTCAGTGAAATAAAAGTTGTATTATCTTTTACTCCACAAACACAAAATATTTTCAAATTTATTTATCTAATTTTTGCATAGCAACCATCCAAGAAGGCAAAGCATTTTAGGAAATGTTTCCATATAACCAGCCATGATAAAATGGTCCACACAGGTCTTTTGGAATATTCTTCTGAAGTTTTTGAAAGCAATAGTAATGGTGGGCACCTTTTCCTATAGAAATTGTATAAAATCAAGAATAACAGTCTGTGTCTCCCACAAATTTGTGCCAAAGATTGGGACTATTTAGAAAAAGTACCAAATGTGTTGAGGGTTAGGGTTGAGACTTGAGGACCCAAGAAGTGGGCCAGGACTTCATCAAAGAGCAACCTGTGGATGTGTCAGTTAACTGAGCAAAACCTGCTTGACTTTAAGGACAACATTCCACCAATAAGGGATGTCTGCAAACAGACCCCACCTTGAAGAATGAGAGCCACCTGGATGTCTATAAATAGATCCAGGCTTGTAATCCTAAGGTGGAAAGAATGATCAAAGGAAGTCAGCCCAGCAGATGAGTAGTTTGCTATTCTAAGCCTGAGGCAATCTCTCTCTCTCTCTCTCTCTCTCTCTCTCTCTCTCATTCATGTCTCAGTGAATGAGGAACTCGATAGAGTAGAAAGAAGTACATGGTCTCTTTGTTCCCGTTAGGATTATACACTTTACTGCTGACTCATTATTTTTATCTTTAATTTGTGTATACTTGGCTAGTTTATTGTTACTTCGGGACACCTTGAAACTTAAACTCAAGATTTGTACATGTAAATGAGTGACTGATAATAATTGTTTTCTAAAAGAATAAATATTGATGCAGGACTCCACTCGTGCCTTCCTTGCTTATGGGATGTTGGAGGACCCCTGATTTCCCCATCACTTTAATCTATACTTTGTCTCTGTCTCTTTTATTTTCAATCTCTTGCAATATTCCTGCCTGGGACCCAATTTGTTGGGAGAGTTGCAAACTTCCGGCACAAATGCAATGTTTTTATTAGTGCTGATTAGTTGGTAAATATTCAAGAATATTTTAGATATTACTGGTATTAGGAAAGTAGCTTATATTACTCTTACAACAAATATTTTACTCTCTTTAGCAAGAACAGCTATAGCATTATCTAATATGAGACCTCATTGATTGGACTCACATGTGATATTCTATATATTATAATTTCTATATTTCTTTTGATAACTAGATTAAAATGAAAGGAAGACTCACTTACTTAATACTTCACTGTAAAACTGTTTCCAAAAATAAAAGTCATTATAATCAGTCCATAAGTTAAAGAAAACTGAAAACACTGTATTTTTTACTCTTTCCAGAAAAGTCATTCTGTTGGTTAGTCCTGTCATAAGCAGAGGTACATAGGAAAGTGGACTTGGAAGTTCCCCACAGTGTCTTTCCATAGTGTTTCCTATAGAAGCTCTAAGTGTAATCACAAAAGGGACTGCAAGCAACTCAGCCACCAGCTCCCCACAAGGCATTACAGGGTCTATAATCACTACATCATAGTTGGTTTCTTGCAGCTTCTTCATGAGTGTCTGATTGTAGACAACACTCTCACACAGAAGTTTAAAATATCCATTCAATTCAATAAAGAAATTATTCAGTTTTACTGCTGATTGCCAGGCTGGTAAGGGTGGCAAAACATTAATAATTAGGTCAAGAAATTTGTTATTTGCATTCTCAAAATCACTTTCATCTTGCGTTGTAAGGATCACTTCAAATTTAATTGCAGAAGTCTTCCTATAATCAATGAGAATAGTCTGTTGCTGGGTTAACACAGTTACTTCATGGCCTCTTTCTATGAGTTCCTCCAGAATGCACTTGGTATTAAGCCAATGGCTCATGTCACAGGGCCATACCAACACCTTCCCACAGAATCCACAGCCAGCACAGCAGAGCAGCATCAGAAGAACTACAAAAACCCACTTCCCAGGCTTCATGACAGCAGCTCCCTCATATACTGTTCTACAGAGCTTGAGGGTTTTTACTGGGCACAGAATTGAAATGGTAATTTAGACAGAGAAGTTAAAAATTAATTTTTAAGATTAGAGGTCCTGGTTTGATGGCAAATTAAATATTTATTGAGAAAATCAAACATGAATGCAAGATATCATGAAGGAGCTCTGAAAATTTCAAAATAAGGCTCCTTGGCATAGAGAGTATTTTGAATTAAAGGTTCTTAGAGATTAACTGGCCCTTAAAGGAGGCTTTTTCCTCTATCTGCATAAACTGGACTGACCTGAACAAAGGATCAAAGGGAGCAAATGACTTGCCTTCCTCTGCCTGTTGTCTCAATACATAGGAGTAAAGAAGATAAAAATGCAAGCAGACCTGGCCCAAATTATTTTACACACAAGACCTGTCACTCACATTAATTTAATTTGCAAAGAGGATCATTTACAAGTCAATCTGTCTCCCCAATTCATTGGTCCTCCCTAATACCACTAGTCACCCTTAAACAGAATGAGCTATACTCCACATTTACCCTCCCCTCCAAAAGACAGCTATAAAAATGTCTGAACTTCATTAGTTTACTGGGTAATCACTATGTGATTTTTCCCCATGTGCATAGTATTGATAATAAACCATTGTCTTAATAATCTGCCTTAACTGTGAGTTGATCTGTCAGAAAACTGTTGGGGCAGAGGGCAAGTTTCTCCTCATCACTACAATCAGTACAATGTTGATTCAGCATTGCTAAACTTACTAATAAAATACATAGTGATACCTTTATTACCCAGATAGGTTATGAAAGAAATGGAAAAAAAAAACCTTTGGTGTTAATATTTGACATACAGAAACATACACACACAAACACACATCCATCCCTCACTAAGCCCAAAGTGCAAAATGGTTTAGGAGAATATGTATGCCATATCCCATGCCCATGTGGAATACCCACTAATTTAATAGTAATAGACTTGGATACCTACAGGGAGTATTTTGGTAGGTATTATAGGGATCAAAGGTGACTGAAACCCCTGAGGTTCACCAAATTATAGGTAGCAAAGGCCCCTGGCCCCAGAAATGTTCACTGAAATATCACCTACATAAGAAGATTAATAGGAGGAAAAAGATGCAGATAAAGTTTATTGTGTTACAGCATTTGTCAAGTAAATTTCAAAGTTATGCAAGTATTTGTTCCATCTGGATTTAGTAAAATCTGGAAACAAAAGAGAAAATGTCACTTTATAATATAAATTATTTCTATTTGTCTGTAATAATGAGCAAAAACTAAAGAATGAGAGGCAGAAGAGGAAAGGAGTAGGAAGAAGTATTCGGAGAGAAGGGGAAGAAGAGTGTTTATATATATTTTTATATATATAAAAAGATTATTAACAGCAGTTATTTCTGGAAATGACATTTAGTGGTAACTTTTTTTTTTTTTTAAAAAAAAACTACCTTTATTTTTTATTTCTTTTTCAGTTACATACTTTTAAACAGGGATGTGTTTCATTATTCAGACATTCAGGCAACGTTGACTTCATTAGTGTTGACAGAAAAGAAGCATAAAAATGCAAAACATTGTTGGCTTAACCTGAACATACCTGCATTACCTATTATTGACCAGTTTGTGTTGCCAAAAGACTTATTCTTTGGCATTAAAATGGAGCACTTAAAAATATTGCTAAAAAGCAAATGTCTACACACTGGTCTTTGCAGCAAATAAGGGTACTTATGCTTTTAAAATATTTTGAGTCCATAATTGGATTAATATACACACCTTCTTATGTATAAGGAGTTCAGATCATATAAACACTGTACAATCCAAAAAACCCTACTGAGAATAAAACTAAACAGACTTATGATAAGAAATACAGATATCGCATGTATTTACAAATATCATAGACACACAAATTTGGTCAAATACTGTAAAGAAAGAAGTGGTTTCACATTATAATGGCCAAAACATCCATCTACCTTGCTCAAAGCAAACGAAAATAAAAACTCAGTATGCAATTCCTGTAGTTTAAGACATCATGACAGTATACAAATAGAATGGAAACTACTCACACCAAATTATACAGCAAATGTTCCTAAGCTGAGTGTGAAGTCTTTAAAATCAAAAAAGATCATTCACAGGATTCAAAGCAACAATGATAAACAATGTCCTGATTTGTGGTGTTCATATGGTGCCTAATTCCTCAAAAACAATGCATTAAACTTTTGGCTAATAAGAAAAATAAATTACAAAATACAATTAAATCCCTGTAAATGCAACAATGAAGTTTAAAAAATGTGGATTTATTTACTTTAACACACATTTTAAATGTTACCTTGAGATAATAAAAATAAATACGCATGCCTGGAGACACACACTTAAAAACAAAGGAAAAACTGCATGGAAGGAGTAAGTAACAATTTTAGAAATGAAAAGTGAATATGAGATTTGTTCAACATAATTATCTTTGTGGCCTGTCTGTTTGTTTGTTTATTTTAATCCCTCTTAAAAATTCTGGCTAGTAGAATGTGACAAAAGTACATCTGTGTCTTTATGGCTTAAAACAAAGCATACTTGAAAAGTGGAATGGGCTTCCTTTTTACCAGAATTGTTTCTTTGTTCATATGCAGGCACTTCAAAAGACTATGGAGGCAAAGCACCTGACCCATCCTCTCCAAAATATTTTTCAATCATCAAAATTATGCTAAAGAATAGGAAAATTCCAGAGAAACAGCAAAGTTGAATACAAGAGACTAATGCTCACATAGGGCAAGAGAGTAACCCAGTTTTTATTGCTGGGGCCTTTTTTTTTTTATCAAAGAGCAAAAAATTAATAAACAGACACCATTGCATGGCACATTCAAGTTTTCTGCTTAAGAGAGAATCAATCATTCAGCAGTGGGTTCTCAGTGGGATCTCCTTAGGCTTCAACCTTATACATTGCAACGAGGTTCACATTTATTTCTTCTCCTTAGTGTATTTCTTTAAAACTCCAACATATATCATTTCTTAAAGTATTCATTTCTTGCTGTCTAACATACATTATTATCTGGAAGCATAAAGTTACATTATACAAATATTTTGCATTTTTAAAAATAAGCACTTTTGCCAATTCTGCAACACGGTACTTCACATAGTGGTGCAACAAAAGCAGAGCTCATATTTACCGCACTACTTACAATTCATTTTACCACTACCATCTGCCAAACCCACAGAGCTTTTTCCTCAGTACCTCTGGGCGGTGACTGTACCATGATTTCACAGAGAGAATGTTAATATGATTCATGAATAACAGTACCATCATTAATACTGAAATCAATGCAGATGTCACAAAATATGAACTTTCTCTTTTAAACATTTGGCAACGCGTTTTCTCTGTGGCATTACCCACTGGGGGAAAAATTCCTGTTCGATTATGCTCTTACAGAAGTTATAGAAAACCAAATTAGGCATATAACTGGTTGACATTTAAGATACTGTACTGCTTTTTACAATAGGAGAAGAGCTTCTAAAAAATGTTCTATAGAACTGCATTCATCAATACCACCTCACTGGTCCATTCCATTCATCGATGGGCAAAGTACTCATGTTTTGACAAAACTTTAAAGCTTCCATAAAAGTTAAATTAGAAAAAAAATATGAATGTAAGACAACCACAAAATGAAGTATGAAAGGATGACATTTTTGTTTCTAAGAGTGAGCCCTTGAAAATATACGTGGTCACTACAGAGATGATTTAATCACAAGACAGCAGATGAACGCGTAAGCAACTCCCTATTATCTGTCTGTGTCCAGAGTCATTTGTGGCGCTGTATGGTTTTCCTTTTCCTTTGTTTGAAAAAACAGCAGCACTTGGTTTCATCCATCACTTCTACTTCAGTAGGGGCTGTGATGGGCGCATTTGAACGTCCTGCAGTAGGGTCATCTGTGTTTAACTCTCCATTTGTAGAACTTACAACCTGTACCGAGCCACCATGTCTGTCTGCTGCAAGGTGAGCTCTCAAATGGTGGGGATTTGCCTGCTGGGAGTCCCAAGCTGCCCTGTGGTCTGCCGACTGGTTTTTGGATTGTTGCATTTTATCTCTGTGTTGATGTGCTTCTCTGTTTGATGACAGAGCAGGATCTTGCTGAACTGCACCCACTGGAGTAGACAACTGTTTACCAATCCAGTCATACTCATAATCAAACATATATCCTTTTCGATCAAACAAGTCAGTAAAAAGCTTTCTTAGGTAGTCATAGTCTGGCTTTTCAAAAAAATCTAGCCTTCTTACATAACGAAGATATGTTGCCATTTCTTCTGGAAAATTTTCACATAACACTTCTATCGGTGTAGCTCGTTTTGTATCTCCAATTTTCTGATATCTCTCTTTTAATTTAATGTGTCAGCCTTTAAGCCTTGCCAAGGAAGACTGCCTCTCAGAAAATACATGAACATATGACCTAAAGCTTCTAAATCATCTCTTCTACTTTGCTCTTTTCCTAAATGTGTGTTTATGCTCATATATCTAGCTGTTCCTGTAAGGCTCTTGTGTTCTCTATATGGTATGTGTTTCTTTGTCTCCGGATCAATATATTCCTTTGCCAAACCAAAATCTATAATATGAATAACTTGCTGGGTTTTGTTTCCTGGTCGTCCTATTAAGAAGTTCTCAGGTTTTACATCCCTGTATATCAAGTTCTTTGAATGAACATATTCCATGCGAGAAATCAGCTGTATAGCTATCATTAGAACTGTTTTAAGAGAAAATGTTCTGTCACATAAGTCAAACAAGTCTTCCAAACTAGGTCCCAGCAGTTCCAGCACCATAGCGTTGTATTTACCACAAGGGCCAAAATAGTAAACTTGAGGTATACCATCTCCAGATCCTAACTGCTTGCAGAATCTGTATTCCAAATGTAGCTGTGGTGCTCTGGATTTCATGGGCTCCAGTTTAATTGCCACATATTCATTTGTGTATAAATTTTTCCCTAATCCTAATTCTCCAAAATTGCCACACCCAATTTTTTTTCCAACTCTAAAGTTAGGTCCAACCATTAAAACTCCAGATGATGAAGATCCAGTTCCTCGAGTATTATGCCCCGATCGACCACTAGGCCGTGCCATTCTATCATCTGATTTGTCCTTGTCTTTCTTTTTATTATCCATATCAAGTTTGCGGTACTCCACTTTGAATTCTTTAATCGAGACAAGCACACTGAAATAGGGCATTGTGAAAATAGGCACATCACTAGGTAACTGTACCAGGTGGGTAATGTCAACATTCAAATTGCAGAAGGTAGTCAATTAACTGGAGCGTGTTCATCCCATTCGTAAAATTTTTCTCAGTTGTCTTTTCAGCAAAACATGTCTTCAAAATTGATAGAAAGCTCCGAGGCGCGGGCGGCGCCCCCAGGCCGTCAGGCAGCGGCGGCGGCCGGAGGAGGAGAGCGAGCCACGCGGGGAGGGAGCGAGCGAGGCGGGGCGAAAGGAATGAGCGAGGGAGGTAACACAGCTCGGCTCGGACTCGGTCCCCGCACTGCTGCCGGCGCCCCCTACCGCCGCCGCTGGCCGGAGAGTCGCCGCCCGAGCCGCGGCTGTCGCCACCGATGCAGCCGGGAATGAATGCGCGGCGGTGCCTCACTTATCCGGAGGCCAGACATCCTTCTGCCTCAGGCATCCGGATCGACGCCGGACCCGGAAGTGAACACACGGAAAAAAAAAAAAAAAATCTAGTGGTAACTTTTTCTTTCCTTCATTTGATGGGCAATATTTTCTAAATGTTGCATGAAGTTACTTTTATTATTCCAATAAATGAAAGAATAAATAAAAGGCAAACAATGTATTTTATAATGACATCATTTCTTTCTAATTTCAACACTGGCAAAGTCCAGAGTATGCAAGAGTTGGTCTGTTGAGCATTACCATAGGATAAATTAAGGATTTTATATCTTTTATTTCACAGGAAACAAGAATCACCTCAGAGTTCATAGATGAGTCAAGATTGAAGTTGATGAGTTATTGATGAAGACAATATGCCTACATTGTGATTTCTTTGAACCATTCAATGGCTTCATCTTTTAAGCCAAAAAAGCACAGTTTCACTAAAAACAATTTCTACCCATGACAAATTAATAATAAGCAGCCAGCAAACTTCTTAGGCATGGTGGTATTAAGGGTGGAAATCAAAGAACAAACTACATTTAGCCCAAATTGTTTTTCTTTTTAAATATAGGAATACATTACGTTTGCCCAATGCTTGTATTAATCTATAGGTCATTTTGGATCTATAGATTAAAAGGTAAGAAAAAAATTTCAAGTTTCTATTTCTCTTAATGTTTTAATTTTAACAAAAAAATGGGGTTTCTTTTTAAGACAAAATTAGACGTCTGCTGGATATATAAGTCTATGTATTCTGTTAATATCTATTAATATAATACAGAAAAATCTATCTTCACTTAAACACATTTTTCTCAATATCATATACAAAAAAGGTAACATATATTCTTCTAATAATTTATCTTCACTATGTAGGTCTATTATTTCCAAATTACCTTTGCACACATTGTTATACTATAGTAAATATTTTTAACAGTCTTTTATGACAAAGGTTATTTCCTCCAAATTGGACTATTTACAAAAAATACATGACTCAGCATCAGAACCTGGACTCTAAACCCAATGTCAGCTCAGTGCTGTTCTTCCATGAAATACTCTCCCCATATACATAATGAAATTTGGCAATAAAAAAAAATAAATATTGATATCACTTCCTCATGTCATCATATTCAACACTCAAGAGGATTAAATAAACAAAAATTCTTTTACTTAGACAATTACCAAACTTTTCAAATCTTTCAATTTGTTTTAGTTAAATAAACTAGGTTACAAAGGGAAGCAGTCCAAACAACAGCCACTGATTCTTTTCTGATAAAAGATGTTATTACATATCTGCTTTTTAATTGTTTTTTCGCTTCCCTATCTTAACTTTGTTAATGAAAATTCTAGGAAATGTGGAGTTGTTTATCCTTGGGACCAATGTATTTCTTTATGTACTAGATGAAATACACTTAGATTCTTGTTCAACTACACATTGTGTGAACCCAGGAAAATTACTTAATCTTCTTGAATTTCTGATGCCTAGTGTGTAAAATGTAGATAATGATCATTCTTGGATATGTTTTGTGTGTGAATTAGGAATGATGTCTGCAATGTTCCTGTCAAAACTCTTGATATGAGGTCGATGTTTAGTAAGAGTACATATTTAATAAATTAACAGTAAAGATGGCATAATAAGCAAGGATATTAGCTGCAAAACAACTGAATAGAAAGCTAATGAATCAACTCAAAGAGCAAGAAAAAGAAAAACAGATTGACCCCAAACCCAGCATAAGAAGTGAAATCAATAATATCAAATCACAACTAAATGAAATTGACAACAGGAAAACTATACAGAAGATTAATAAAACAAAAAGTTGGTTCTTTGAAAAAATAAACAAAATTGACACACCTTTGGCTAGACTAACAAAAAGCAGAAAAAAAGATATCTAATAAGCTCCATCAGGAACAATAAAGGAGAAATTACAATGGATGCCACAGAGATACAAGATATAATTTATGAATACTACAAAAACCTCTATGCACACAAACTGGAAAATGTGGAGGAAATGGACAATTTCTTAGAAACACACAGTCTCCCTAGGCTCAACCAGGAAGAAATAGAATTCCTGAATAGACCAATATCAAGTACTGAAATTGAAACAGCAATAAAACCCTTCCTAAAAAGAAAAGTCCCAGACCAGATGGCTTCACGCCTGAATTTTACCACACCTACAAAGAACTGCTGCCTATCCTGCAGAAATTATTCCACAACACTGAAAAGGATGGAAACCTCCCCAGTACATTTTATGAAACCAACATAACCCTGACACCAAAACCAGGAAAGGATGCAACAACAACAACAAAAAAACTATAGACCAATATCCTTTATGAATATAGGTGCAAAAATTCTCAACAAAATCCTAGCTAACCAAATCCAGGTGCTTATCAAGAAAATAATCCATCACGACCAAATGGGCTAAATCCCAGAGATGCAGGGATGGCTCAACATATGCAAATCTCTAAATGTGATTCACCACATAAACAGAAACAAAAACAAAGACTATATGATCCTCTCAATAGACACAGAAAAAGCATTTAACAAAATTCAACACCCTTTTATGATAACAATACTCAACAAAATAGGCATAGATGGGGCTTACTTAAAAATGATACAAGGCATATATGATAAACCCACAGCCAACATCATACTGAATGGGGAAAATTTGAAAGCACTGCCACTTAGAACTGGAACCAGGCAAGGTTGCCTACTATCTCCACTTCTATTCAACATAGTGCTTGAAGTTCTTGCTATAGCAATCAGAAAAAAGACCAGAATTAAGAGCATCCAAATGGGGGCAGAAGAGATCAAACTCTCACTCTTTGCTGATGATATAATATCATATCTAGAAAAATCCAAGGATTCAAGCAAGAGACTCCTGGAATTAAAAAATGAATTCAGTAAAGCCTCGGCATACAAAATCAATACCAACAAATCAGAGGCATTCATATACGTCAATAACAGTCAAACTGAGAACCAAATCAAAGACTCAATAACCTTCACAATAGCAAAAAAGAACATAAAGTACCTAGGAATATATTTAACTAAGGAGGTAAAATACCTCTACAGGGAGAACTATGAAACACTGAGGAAGGAAATAGCAGAGGATGTAAACAGGTGGAAAACCATACCATGTTCGTGGGTCGGCAGAATAAACATTGTTAAACTGTCTATACTACCCAAAGTTATCTACAGATTTAATACAATCCCTATTAAAATACTAACATCATTTTTCACAGATACAGACAAAAAAATTTTACACTTCGTATGGAACCAGAGAAGACCCCATACAGCAAAAGCAATCCCAGGCAATAAAAACAAAATGGGAGGTATCAATTTACCAGACCTGAAACTATACTACAAGGCTATAGTAATTAAAACAGCTTTTCACTAGCACAAGAACAAGGACATTGACCAGTGGAACAGAACAGAGAACCCAGATAATAAACCATCCTCATAGAGCCATCTAATCTTTGACAAAGCAAGAAAAAGATACACTAGAGAAAAGAATCCTTATTCAATAAATGGCACTGGGAAAACTGGATAGCCACATGTAGAAGACTGAAGCAGGATCTGCACCTTTCACTTCTCACAAAAATCAACTCACACTGGGTAACAGACTTAAACTTAAGGTATGAAACTATTAGAATTCTAGAGGAAAATGTTGGAAATACTCTTCTAGACATTTGCCTAGGCAAAGAATTTATGAAGGAGTCCCCAAAGGCAATCACAGCAACAACAAAAATAAATAAATGGGACTTGATCAAATTAAAAAGCTTCTGCACAAAGAAACTGTCACAAGAGCAAACAGACAACCTACATAATGAGAGAAAAATTTTGCAAGCTACACATCCGATAAAGGGCTGAGAATTAGAATATACTTAGTATTCAGGAAAATCCGCATGAAAAATCAAACAGCCCTATCAAAAAGTGGGCAAAGGACATGAACAGAAACTTTTCCAAAGAAGACAGAATAATGGCCAACAAACATGAAAAAATGCTCAACATTTCTAATCATCAGGGAAATGTAAATCAAAACCATAATGAGATATCATTTATCTCCAGTGAGAATGGCCTTTATCAAAAAGTCCCAAAACAATAAATTTGCCATGGATGTGAAGAGATAGGAACACTCCTACACTGCTGGCGGGACTGCAAACTAGTTCAACCTCTGTGGAAAGCAATATGGAGATACCTTAAAAAGATACAAGTAGATCTACCATTTGATCTAGCAATCCCATTACAGGATATCTACCCTATCTATATCTATCTATCTATATCTACCCTATCTATATCTATCTATCCCAATTACAGGATATCTACCCAAAATAACAAAAGACATTCTATAAAAAAAGACACCTGTACTTGAATGTTTATAGCAGCACAATTCACAATTTCAAAGATGTGGGAACAACTGAAGTGCCCGTCAATATATGAGTGGATTAATAAAATGTGGTATATGTGCACTACGTAGTACTATTCAGCTATAAGAAACAATGGTGATATAGTATCACCACTCTTGTATTTTCCTGGATAGAGCTGGAACCCATTCTACTAAGTGAAGTATCCCAAGAATGGAAAAACAAGCATCACATGTACTCACCAACAAATTGGTTCACTGATCAACACCTAAGTGCACATATAGGAATAACATTTAGGGGGAGTAGGGCTGATGGAAGGCGGAGGAGGGGATAGGTATATACATACATAATAAGTGTTATGTGC